GGCGCCGCCGTGTGCGTCTCCCACGTGACGGCGTTGTCAAGGGGCACGAGAGACCATTGCTGAACGTGCTCCAGAGAAGGGGGGGCGTGAGTGCCCCGCTCCGGCTGGGCACAGCTTCCCCCGGCCTCTGAGCAGGCACTTTTCAATTTAAAATGGCACTTCCCATCGTTTCCATCAGGCCAGAGATCTCACAGGCCGGATTCATAGAATTATGGAACCATGGAACGATTTGGGTGGGAAAGGACCTCAAAGCCCACTCAGTGCCACCCCCTGCCATGGGCAGGGACACCTTCCATAGCCCAGGGTGCTCCAAGCCTCATCACGTGTTCAAGTATTCAAGCGACCTCGGTCCTACCTGACCTTCCGTGCCCAACCTTTATTATTACGTGGCTCGAGGCCCTCCCAGACACCCCCGTGTTGGGAAATGCTGGGCACAAGGCCATAGGAAATGTCGGATTTGAGTCTGGAACTCCCTCCACGGGACCGCTTTTTGCATGTAGATGTTCTCCTGGCGCCCAATCTGTTTCTCCCACAGAGCAGGAGGCCACTTTACCAATTAAACAAGCTCCCAGGAGCCTGGAGGAGTTGCAGAAGCGGTAGTGGACAAGGTATTAGCCACTGCCCTTTGAAATACAGAATATTATCTTAGGCAGCTATTAATCACGGTTAAAGAAAGCTGTGAAAGGCCTGTTGGGCATAAATTCTTTGGCTTTCCTTAGCGAGTGGTAAAACTGCTCTCCTGCCCAAAAATCTCACAGGGAAAACAGGAGCAGTAGCCACGAAAATCCTGCCCAAAGACCTTGTTTAGAGCTTCAGTTACTGTACAGCGACCAAAGTGTTAAAGTCAGGTTCCTTGCACACCCTGGGTGAAGAGCGTGCCGTGAACCGAAGTACCAGCAGTCAGGGCAGCTGGGGAGATTAAAACTGGTTTGAGTCCCGGGCAAAACGCAGCTGCAAAGGTGGCTTTTATCAGGGAACATTTGCACCAAGTCCTGGCTGCACGTGGCTGTGACGGCGGGTTCTGCGCCTCCCGCTCCAGCCCCCGGCCTGGCTCCGCCTGTGCCTGCCAGTCTGAGAAGAAACCCAGCCGCAGTTCAGGGCCGTAAATCACTCAGGGTTGACTGAATGGTTTGCTCTGACTGGGCAAAAACGTGCTGCAACTACTGTTAGTACATTTTAATGAAAGTGTAGGCCCTTAATAATGTTAAACATCGCTCCTTCATTCCATCTTTGGGGAAAAAAAGGGATTCTGGGGGAGATCTGCGGCACACACGTCCCCACTGCAGCGTGTGCTGAGATGGGGCGCTGCTCTGGCTACTCCAAAGATCAGAGAGCAAGCACGTCCCCAGGTGCTGGAGAACGACCAAGGAACAGAGTGTGCCCAAGATCTGCGCACGCAGCGGGCACAGAAGGGCAGGTTACCGGGCTTCGGTCGCTATATACCATCAGCAACAGCTTCTCTACTCGATCCACATCATTAAACAACGCCCTGAGCAGTGCTCGAGTAAGTACCCGAAGCACCTGCGATAGCTACTAGGCAGACACACCTCTCTACGCCTCGTGAAGGGCCCTGTGACGGCAGAACCAAGGGAGTTTACCTGTTATGATGTCTTCGATAGCGCCGTCCTTCCCTTCGTACACGTGCCTGTTGTCCTTCACCTGCCGCCGCCTGAGCTCTGCGATCAGCTCTTGCTGCTGCCTCTTGGTTTTATGTGAGGGAGACTGGAAGCAAAGGAGAGAGGGTGCGTAAGGACTGACCTCCAGCCACGTGCTTCCCGCTTCCTGCCGTGGAATCAGCGACGGGTAGCTGCCAGTTTTCTGCCCTGCTCTGCACGCCGGGGAAAGCACGCACGTGCGGACAGCTCGCGGCCCGCGGAGGGTCGGGCAGAGCCACAACACTGCCTGCCAAGTGCTCTTCTTTCTTCCGTGGCAATTCCCTTCCGAGCCTTCTCAGCACTTGGAACTGGAGCTCCAAGCTCTCACCTCTGACAAGCATTAGGAGAACAAGGAGAACAGGCTTTCCTCCCGAGGGAAAAAGCTTGGCTTGGACCGAAGGTCCCACCAACCGCTGCGGGAAGCGGCACCAGTGACAAAGTGGCCGGATTAGAGCCACAGGAAGCTTCCTCCAGCAAATCTAAAGCGTTACCTCAGGGAACAACAGCCCCACGGCAAGAAAACACGCATGAAACGGTAATGTGGGGCACAGTCCTGATGCCCCACTCTGATGGGGAAAGGTCTGGGGGGTTCGCCCCTTGGACCTGTAGGAGCACACCGAACCCCGGCACGGTTTTAACATTACCAGGAGCAGAACCGAGTTTGGCTAATGGCAATGTGCAACGAGACCACTTGTGTCTGTTCAGTTTTTCTCAATTTTGCAGACTTGAAAAGCAGCAGAGCCATACAGCATAACTCAGCTTATCTCCGTTCTCCCCAGAGGGAAAACTTCCAGGTGCTCCATTCCTAGGCAACATTAAGTTGGGCAGCAGCAGCCCTTATACAGAGCTGAAACACCGGGAAAAACACACAAGGATACAGGCTCCGGCCTGTAAGAATTCTGTTTCATACCTTTTGGTCCTGTTGCTCCATCAATGCTTCTTGCTCCATAAGTTTTTCCATTAAGGCCTGTTCCTGCTTTTTTCTCAACTCGTTCTCTTCTTCTGCTTGCTGTTTATCACAAAAAAAACAGGTTATAGCCTCAAACTGTTGTAGAGAACCTCTATATTACAAAAGAGTCCCAGACTTGCTTGCTACCACGGGGCTTTCCAAGGAAGCAAGATCAGGTGTAGCAGTCCAGCTGCCTCTGCACACAGTCTGGGCTGGGAGAGACCTTCCCGGGTCGCACACACCATCCCCTCCCAGTCCCAAAACACGCACTCGGGGTTAAAGGTGGCTGCAGCCACCCAGACATTAATTTCTGAGGATTCCTAAAGCGTCTCAGACAGCTGTGTTGTCTTCCAGCCCTGAAATAATCCCAGAACGCGCGTCCGTGGTGCCACGGGCTGGCGCTGCTGTCCAGGACGGCTCACGTTGCGTCAAGGCCAGAGGGAGCCAACGCTGCTCGGTTGGGAGCCCCGCGCCGCCCCGGTACCACAGCGCATTCAGGAGCGGGAAGAGGAGGGGGGTCCTGCTTACCTTGTAGGCCTTCACAAACCGGACAAACACCGGGAAGAAGACAGAGGGGGGTGTTGTCTTGGGATTCTCTCCGAAGTACTTCACAGCATCATCAAAGGCATCCTAGAAAAAGCACGGACATACTGCCTTGCACGTATCCCGTGACTAACTCACCAGCCATCACTGCAGTGTTCAGTGAATCACAGAGCCTTTGAGGCTGGAAAAGCCCTTTAAGCCCATCGAGTCCAACCGTCACCCCAGCACTGCCCAGGCCACCACTGACCCCTGTCCCTGAGCGCCTCGTCCACACGGCTCTGAAACCCCTCCCGGGATGGGGACTCCCCCCTCCCTGGGCAGCCCCTTCCAACCCCTCACAGCCCTTTCCGGGAAGGAATTTCCCCAATATCCAACCTAAACCTCCCCTGGCACAACTTGAGGCCGTTTCCTCTTGTCCCATCCCTTGTCCCGTGGGCGAAGAGACCGACCCCTATCTGCCCCCTCCTCTCAGGGAGCTGTAGGGAGCGATAAGGTCTGCCCTGAGCCTCCTCTTCTCCAGGCTGCACCCCCCCAGCTCCCTCAGCTGCTCACCACAGGAATTGTGCTCCAGACCCTTCCCCAGCTCCATTCCCTTCTCCGGACACGCTCCAGCCCCTCAGCGTCTGTCTTGCCGTGAGGGGCCCAAAAACTGACCCCAGGATTCGAGGTCCGGCCTCAGCAGTGCCAGTACAGGGGGACCATCCCGGCCCTGGTCCTGCTGGCCACACTGTCCCTGATGGCAGCCAGGATGGTGTTGGCTTTCTTGGCCCCTGGGCACACACCCGCTCATATTCGTTTCCTCTGCACGTGAGACCCCCAGCTCAGAGGAGCACATTGACATCCAGCCCTCGAACTCTGGAACAAACCCAGTGTCACTGCCCCTTCCCCTCCCTGCTGCGCATGCACCAGCCCATCCTTTGCAGTGACACGCTGCCATTCGCCGGGTCCCTCGCACCCCCTCGCCAAACTCCGAGGATAAAGAAATACCTGGGCTATTTTGGCATCATCCTGCAGTTTCTTTAGCTTCCCTTCGTTGTTCTGAATGAACTCCTTCAGCATCGTGTTGTGGTCGTGCATGGTGTACTCCCGCTTCGTCAGATCCAGGCCTCTCTGCAGCTCCTTCACATCCAAGAGGACGTTTTCAAGGGACACTAGGAAATGAAAGAAAGACGCTGCATCACTCCTGCCCAAGCCCACGGCTTGAACCGAGGCTTGGCATGCCGGAGGGTGACGGTACCTGCAGCAGCCTTCTCCACGTAATGAAGCTCATTGTAGAAGAGGGACACGTGCTGGTACTTCTCCTTGACAACGTTGGAAATGTAGTGCAGCAGGGTCTGCTTTCGGTCTGTCGACTTGGTCTCGAGGAGCTGGGGGAGAGAAGGCAAAGGGACTGCTGGGTGGAGGCACAGGAGGCTCTGAGCAGAGTGGCTCGACCGGTGCGCGCCTCTTACGGCTCTAAAAGCTCATGGAAGTGTTCGGCAGGTGGGTTTCAAGCTGTGGTGAGCCTCTGAGACACGTGCCCTCTCCTAAGCAGCCCCCCCAAGTGACGGTAAGCAAAGCAGACCCCCACCGCCTGGCAGGGAGAGCCCTCCCACTGCCATGCTCTGCTCTCGCCGGCCGGAAAGCGCCGAGCGCGTCTCCTGCAGCCACGTTCCCACGGGACACCTCTGCTTTACTTACCAGGTCTAAACTCTGCAGCTTAAATCCATACACAGCCCCTCGTTTACTGCTGTTCATGTAGTTTCCAAGAGCCAAGATTATCTGCCAGGATGAAACAGAGCAGAGCGTGAACGGCCAGGGCGAGTGCAGGGCGCTTTAGGAACCTCTGGAAGGAAAGCGGGTATTCCCGCATCCAGGCAGGGTTTCCGTATGAGCGATGGAGCCATGGAATGCATCTGAAATCAGACTTACCTCCAGTATTTTCTTAAGCTTTTGGGATGACTTTATGGAGACAGACGCAGCTATTATCGCGTGAAGTTGCTGCAGGTAAACACAAGGAAGAGCTCTGGTTAATGCACGACCAACCCAAGAGTAAAATTAAAACATAAACACTCACATTCCAGAAAAAAACCTTGGTTTTCGTCCCTTCCATGGGCCCTAGGAAGAATATGATCCTGCTCTGACAGGTCAGGATTTCAAACAATTTGTTTGCGCCGCAGACTTAGCATGCTCAGATGTGGTTGGGTGAAAGTGTATTTGCGTTACAACCGTCCCGACTGGGAAAGATGCATCAGGCGGAGTGGGACAGGCTTCAAAGAGCCCACAGACCAGCACTGATAACTTTCCGTGATGATACAAACGAGATTTTCACTTAAACCAGTTTTAAACTTCTACAGGATAAAGAAACTGGACGGTGTGGAGCAGTGTGGGCTACAGGCTGCCATA